GATATATGGGTACATGTTATTGACATAAAATTACGATATTTCCACCCAAAAAAATACAATATAAAATGTTTGTTTTTGAAATTCATTTGTTAATGTTTGTTTTCTTTGATAACCAGCTGTTGATTTATATTGTACAATATAAAGATTGGTTTCGGGCAAATCTTTATTCTTGATTTGATGCGATAGTGGTCCACTGCAGATTTGTCTCCCTACGTGTTTTCAATGATAACCCTTCCCTCTTTGGTATGTTTACTCACACTCACACATTGATTAATCATTCTTTTTATCTTAATTAACTCCCATTAATGGCTGTTTGTTATAAAACTTATAATCATTATACAATATAATACTAATACACTCTCTTTGGCAGAAATACTTTTCTCTTCTTTTTAATGCTTGTTAACTACACTTTGTTATAGCTTATAGGTTTATTACAAATCATTCGAACTCATAGCTAATGCAAAGGCTAGTGGTTGCTTGAAGAGATAGAGAGACAGAGAGCACATCAACAAAAGGTTGGAGACTAATTAGTGTGATAGTTGTGATTTTGTCCCTTAAGATGCCATCTTTAATTTATATTTTTCCTATTATTTATGCAAAAGAAAACTATATAATAACAGTTTCCTTCGTCCATGGGTAAAGACTGAATCGAACCTAAGAGTGACTGGACAGCTATCCATGTGGAGAACACGGGACTAAAGTCTCTCATGTTATTTAATTTGTGGTTAATCAATTTATATCTTTTAACACTATTACAACATATATTAGGAAAGTACATTCTACAAAGTTTTGATCAATCATTGTCTTACATCATATTTTTTCTATATGATACAATTAATTTTAAAAGACAGAATTCACCAATTCTAAGAGAAAGCATCATGATAAAACTATATATATATATATATATATATATATATATATATTATATCATATATATTATATCATATGAAATACCATAATTCATAAATAATAAGATTAAAAAATTTCAAAATTTAAAAATAAACTCAAATGTTAGAGTACATAAAAATAAAAATTGAAGAGATAAAATATTATAAATAAATATAAGTTCTAATAAAAACGCTAACTCCAACTTATAAGAGTTAATTACCACGATCTATGAACGTGTAGGCGTGTAACGCCTAAGGGCATATTCACAAAACACTAAAAAAAATTAAAAAAATTATTTGTATTTAGATTTAAGTAATATAATTAAATTATTATTTAGCAACTAAAAAATAATTATGCCATTATTTTTTTTAATATATTTACAATTTGAATAATATGAAATTTAAGTTATATTTAATATGAAATTATAATTTGTACAAATTTTTTAAATAAATACCAAATTGATTAAGATTAATTATAGATATTAAAGTTCAATTTATTTCTTATTATTGTTAATTCTCAATTATAATCTTATATTAATTAAATTAATATCAATTAGTTATTTAAATAATTATTCTTTATTAAAAATAAAAATAATTTTAAATTTAATAATATAATATGTATTTTTAGTGTGAGAGTTAAGTTGTGGTCAGAGTTGGAAAAAAATTTGAAACACCAAAACACCAAATGTTAACACCAAATTTGGTGTTTTGGAGTTGCTCTAACTGGTGTTGAAAAACCGTTTAAAAAACGGGTGTTTATAAATTATTGTACATATATTATACCAATCATATATCAACTTAACAGTTTAACTATTGCAATAGAATTTGCATATTTCATTTCTACCTAAGTAAAGGTTAAATTTTTTTTATATTATAATAATATTGAACAAAATTTATGAAAACTATAATTAATTACAATATATATGTGCAATCAATTATGAATTTTTAGACTCTTTACCTGAAATATTCATTTAATAATACTCAGTGACAACTTGTTCAAAAGAATTTAGAAACACATTTGGCCGACAAAGTAGAAATATATCTACATATTAGTAACATGGAGTTTGGACATACACCCAGTTTCGTTCATGCTCTAATTTAAACAAAATATATCAACAAAAATAAATTGTAAGAAAATAGGTAGAATTTTCTCTTGAAAGACAAAAGAACGCCAATGCTCTTACATTTGAACTTCTATTTTCTTAAAAGAACTTACTTAAGTCTATTTGCTTGGATTAGTGTGTGTGTTTGTTAATTCTTTCATAAAATTTTCCATATATGGTGATAAAATCTCTGAATTTATAGTTTTTTTTTTTTTTTTTTCCATCACTTGTATTTTAAAAATGATTCTCAACGATGTGAAACGAAAAAAAGAGATGTACTTGTATAGTCATTGTCAACAATTAATCGATTCGATTTCAATCTTTATAGATTAAATCATCAAAAATGTGCCCTTTTTCAAGTCTTTATGGGAAAAAAAAAGCTGCATTCAATTGAGAAAATTTATTTTACGAACTGTTGTGTTGTGTTAGTGGGGTATATTGATGAATGATAAGTCCATCAAAACATAAACAGTACTACTTTTTCCCATTTGCAATTTACAATTACATATATAATTGCAAATCCAATATCATTTTTTCAAAAAAAAAAAAACTATGAAAAATAAGATTTATAAGCAACAAATACAAATACAAAAAAGAAAATCGGTATTAAAATTTAAAATTCAGAGAGAAACAAGAACCGGATCGGTTTGTTTCCAAATGTTACAGAAGAAGCAGCAGCAGCTGGCAAGCGGGAAACTTACTTACCGTTGAGAGAAGAAGAGAACTGTTTATTCTTCCTTACGCGGTTTTGGTCTTGAGGGTTTTGCAGGAACAACGTAACTGAGGAGAATCAATACAACAGGTATGATTGTTCCAATGTAATATACGCTTCCGTAGGCGGTAAGTGTTTCGTGCAAGCTTAACACCTGAGAGATTGCGATTATAAACAAGGTTAAGAACGGCGTTAAAGTGATTCGATCAATGTGACGGGAGAGAAAAGAGTTGGCAATCACCATGAAACCGACGGCTGAGTAGTTGAGAACCAAAACGGTGTAAAGGAAGTTGATGAAGACCAGTATATTTCTCAGCATTGCCATTTTCGGACTGATCGCTTGTTGCCACCGGTAAATAACTGCAAAGAAAAAAGATTTAGATCAACAAAAAGATTGATAGATGCCATTACCAAAAGAGTGAAACCGGGTGAATTGTATTTACCCCGTGAGCCTGCGATCATCAAAGCTGACTGAACAAAGAACATCATATATCCAGGATATAGTCCCTGCAAATTGCATTAGAGGTGGAAGAAAAATCAGATTTAGAAATACAAATGTATGTTCCATCATCATTGGAAGCAATTGAAAACACTCAAATTACAAGATATGTAGGATTTTCCAGTTTAAGAATTGGAAAGAACACGAAGAGAGTAACGTGGAAAAAAAATAGATGAAGAAGAAAGAACTCACATGCCAAACCGCACTGACGGTTTGTGTAGCTAATAACTGGAAGAAACCCGCTTTCTTTCCGTTCTGCACAAGTCTTTCATACACGTCTGCATTATAAATAACATGAATCAGTTTTCTCACAATGACTAAGTTCACAGATTAACCGAAATTTCTGCTTTTTATGATTCATGCAAGTACCAGAAGACTACTTACAGTGACGGAGCCATGTGCTGACTTGTATGTTCCATACTAGTGGAATCTGAACCGCGCTCTTAGCTAGTTCAACACCGAGAATGTCTACGTTCTTGGCACGGTCCCATTTAGGCTTTGGTGAAGCATCATCAGTCCAACCACTGAAACCCAAACCAGAGATGATAATAGAAGCCTCTGAAATAGACCAGATGAAGTAATACTTCCAACGGGCCGTGAATCCGGCCATGTATTGATAACTAAATTTTCTCAAGAATCCCCATTCTTGGTACACGGGTTCAGTGAACCGGGTTAACGGATACTGAGGCACTAAATAGAGATACAGAGCCATGCAGATCGCAGCTTGCAAAATAGCTCGGATTGTAGCTCCAAAAGGCGATGGCTGCTTTCTTTTTTCTGAAGTATCCCAAATCTGGAAATCACAAAAGTTCTCAAGTTTACAGTCTAGTCTGTAACAATTCACTGATTTCTTGATAAACACAAAAGATGTCAAGAAGAAGAAGAAGAAGAAGCTTACCCCTTTTCCTTCGGTCCATTGGAGATAATCTTTCATTTCATAAACAGGACCAGCAAAATGGCTACCGCAACAGAGGCAGTAACCAAAGTACTCAATCAAAGACGGCATCTGAACCAATCGGTTTTTTCTTCTGAGCTTCACGTAGACCTTCCTCCTTCAACATCCCATCATTGTAATTCATGGCACACGAGATAACTTTCAGCGTTAACACCATTAACGCTCCTAATACATCAAACCAAAAAAAGGCCAAGTATAGAAAGCTAATCACAATCACTACTCATGCCAAACTCATAAGAACACACAAAGGAAGCAACTTTTATTCATAAATTAAGAGTTACCAGTAGCATCAATTCCTCCTTCTTTCCACGCATCTCCACTCATATAAAACACATGACTACACAAAATCACCAAATTGCACCATAATTAAAATCAGATTTTGTTCATAATCAGCACTGATTCATCATAGCATTAAAAAGAGTTCAGATTTTTAGTACCAGCCAATGAGATAAGCGAAACCGAGGAAGAAAGTGATGATTCCACACTTGGGTCGATAAATCGCCATTGAAGCATAACCGATCGTCATCGGAACGAGGAAGTGGAGGTTGGAGGAGAATCCAAAGGAAAGGTAAGAGAGTAGAACACCTGAAGCAGCGGCATACAAGTGTTTACCGAGTCGACTCGGGACGATTCTCCAGGCGAAAGAAACAGGAATCGTGGCGACGAAACAGAGGAGGAAACGGAGAACGGCGACCGAAACTCCGATCGAAGCAGCCATAGAACTCATATCCATCAATTCCATGGTTTAAAAAAACAATCGGTTTTTAAACTCGGGCTGAGTCACAACGACCGAGTTTCTCCGGGAAGGGGGAAGAGAAGCTTCTTCTTCAGATTGCCTCTGATCTCGCCGAAGCTATGCATCGGTCGTAAATCCGTCGTGTCGTGTCGTTTGTTCTTTGTGGAACACCACGAAAGGTATCAATTTTACCTGTAATAAACCGTTCGTTACACTTCTCTAAACCGATTAAAATTGATAACCAACGGTTTAAATGAAAACCCTAATTTCCTTTCTCTGATTTCTAATTCACAGTTCTATCAAAATTTCTTTTACCTTCTCTGAGTTCTCGATTCTTCGCCGTTCGTTCTCCAACAAATTTCATCGTCCTCTTTAGATTGATTCTACGATTTCTCTGTTTAAGTACGTTCTATATTTACTCTGTTTTGATTTTTTTCTTATTTGTATCTTTCTAGTCTCACTCTTCTCATCTTCTCAATCTTTTTCAGTTTATTCGAACTCGTGTAGTTTTTCTTGCTCTGATTTCGTTTTTGTGTTATGATTACAATATTAACTGGGGAATGCTATTACGGTTACGGTTTCCGAAGTCGGCTTAGTATTCAAAGTGCATAAGAGGGTAGCCGGGCCGGGCCGGGCCAAATACGAAGGGCCCAAATTGAGAGTTGCGAGTATCAAATAAGAATAGGGTTTAGAGTTGCTAGACCTGCAGGTTAAATTCTGTTCTAATGGAGTTTTCTTTGGATTCACTCTGGTTCGATCTTCTACTACTCTCGAATTTTCGAGACTGGTGTTACCCGGTTTGGATCTTTCTCTCCTCGTCTCTGCTTTTCAGATCTGATCGAGATCTGGTCCTATGGTATGTTGCTTCTATTTAGGGTGTGAAATTTGTCGCCTTGTATACGACAACCCCGTATCCGGAAGAAAGTGTGAGGAATTATGAGTGGTTCTATCTTGCCGGGTTATGAAGCTTAGCATAGGAGTTCTGTTTCTTTTAGGCAGTTTGGTATTCTTCGAGGAGGTTTCGTTTATCGATGGTTGGCCGCGGGCATCTTCGATATGTTCTCTCAAAGGATTTCTTGAAGTTAGTATTTCCCTTGTTCGGTTTAGTATGTTTCCAATTTGTTGTGGTTGTATGGTTTGTTTATGGTTAGCCTCTTCTATCGTATTCTATTGGCCTTGTAGATTCAGTCCCTTGCTTTCCTTTTTAGGGCTTATGTCTCCGGGGAAATCTTGTTTTCCGCCGGCTTTACGTTGTAATTCACCGTGTATTCCTCAATGGTAATATAAATCAATCTTAGATGACAAAAAAAAAAAAAAAAAAAGCAAAAATATCAAGCCGTCATCCAAAATTTTAAACCAGTGAACCGAATGATCCGAAACTTTCAATCTCGTCCAAACATATTCTCAAATGTAAAAAAAAATAGCTTAGGTTTGCTAAACAAAGAAACAAAAACACTAATGATGACCATATTTCACATGGGCTATTTATTTATTTCTTCATCACGAATTATCTATTTTGCGGGGAATATAATTTGAGTGAAATATAAACAGAACAAACCCCTTTAATAATAAATCTGAATTCATTACAATTTACAAGCAAAGGTGATGTGTCTTAATTATATATGACGAAAATGCCCACGGAACCAGCTCCAGATATAACCGGACCCCCATCCACCATCCATACCCAACACAGTATCATCCGTACTTGTGAGTGAGTGTTGCGACATTTAGCTAGGGTTAGAATGATGATGAATTTCCGCCGCATCGCAGCAGGTTCTCTTCATCTCTTGCAGAAGTCCGCAACGCGTCCCGCTCTGTTTCCCAAACCCTCGGATTCTGGCGTCATCGCTCGTCTTCGATGGACGACAAGGGCTCTTTCTACAACGGAATCTGCTGAGACGGCGGCGGCGGCATCGGTCTTTTCTAGCAAAGACAACCTCATGAGCCGGGTGAATAGGCTTCACAAGGAAGGCAAAGATGAACTCGCCCTACATGTAATTTATTCTTCATCATTTAAGTAAGGTTTGTTCTTCCTTCTTTTGGATTAATGGGTTAATTCGTTTTGTAGCTCTTTGACTCTATGGATGCGAACAAGGTTGAATTTACTCCCTCCGAGTTTGCATTTCATATTGAGATCCTTGCTAAGGTCAAAGGCTTAGCAGCTGCTAAAGCCTACTTCAAAAAAGCAGACCCAGACTTCAACGATGGAGACATTCATGCCAAGAACTGGCCTGCTTACGCCACGCTCCTTCGGCTCACATCTGAAGAATTGGACCAACTGGTTAGTGTTCTAGTTTATTGAATTTAGGGGTTGTTTCAAATTTTGTAAGATTTGTGTTTTAACTTCTGAGCATGGTGCGATTTAAAATACTAAATACTCTCTCTCTCTCTCTCTCTATGTGATTCAGTGATTGATGAGATGCTTTTGTTGTTTGTTTTCATGGATGTTTCCTTTCACATGTTAGATTAGGTTTACGATTGAGTGTTGTGAATTTTGTGATCACTTGATTATGTTGTGAGAGGTTGCCATAGATGGAAATAGATCCTTTTTGGAGCTGAATTATGTCCATTTTGATTGCTTCGCTTACTTAATAAATAGATGATTGTGATCTTTAATTGTACAGGTTACATTTCTTCTTAATCTGCTGAGACTCTTTTCATACTTTGATTTCCTGAAGTTAGCTGTAATTTAGGTAGAAGATTCTTGCCCCAAAATTTATTCTATAATCTAGTAACTTGGAAAAAGACAGCCAGAAATTACTGTCTTCTAAGCTTATATGTGCGATTTAATTATTTTGTGTTGATTTGTGTTTATCAACTCTGGTTTTAATTTGTGTATTTCAATCTCTCTTTCAGGCAAACCATCTCCATCCACTCAGAATTTCCTTTTCAAGAATCGCTGAATTGGTTTCACCGTCGGTCGTGTATGTGTATGGAACTAGAGGTGAAGGAGATGGTTACGTCTTGTCATCAGGGTTTTTCATAGATGAGAAGACCATCATCACTTCATCACGTGATATACTAGACGGTCAGAAGCTCTTCGCTGTGCTTCGTGATGGAACGCAGCTTGATGGGAAGCTAGTGAAGATATCTGAGAGCCTTGAGCTTGCTTTGGTGAGAGTGGATACAAAGGATCTGCAGCCTGGTTGTTATGGCACAGCGAACCTCGGTTTTTCAAACCGGGTTCGCACAGGAGAATGGGTTGGGGCTTTGGGTGCTCCTCTTGGCCTCAGGAACACCTTGACGGTTGGGATAATCAGCTGCCCCAACCGGTGTGATCACGAGATTGGATGGGAAAACCAAGGAAGACAGTTTCTACAGTTTGACTGTCTCATTCACGAGGTAATTTTTGAATTATTTAAATATTGTTTAGTGTTTAGCTTATTGATTCATATGTAAATCGTTGAATATAGTAATCAGTTGAGCTTGAATTCTCTTAGTGAAGAGAACCAAAAATGATTGATAAAATAAGATAAAGTTAGTCACGCATTCTTCACTAAAGAGTCTTTGTGTCTTTGATAACAGAGTTCCTTTGGAGGTCCGCTTGTCGGGTTGGACGGGCTCGTTGTTGGGGTCATCATGATGGGGTATGGACCGGCATGGATGGATCGAAGCCTGGGTCGGCACGCCAACCTGATCGGGATTGCAGTTCCGATAGACACGGTCCGAGACGTATTGCTCGTGGATTAGTGAGTGACAGGTTTTAGGAAAAATTGTCAATAATATTTGCCTGTTGATTTCAGATTTTAGTTTATTGATCAGATTTTAGTTTATTGAGCAGATTTTGGGTTGTTTCCAATTTTAATTGGACCGAACAATGGCTTTAGCCGATGCTTATATAACTGTATCTCATTTAATGAAGATAACTAATTAGTGAAATCTGGTCATAGTTACACAAAAACCAATTCTATCTCCTTTTGTTTTCATATTTTACTTTGTCCCTGTTCTTGTTCCCTTTTTCAATCTCCCATATTGGATTCGTGTTTTTATTGTTTGTTTAAAGTAATTGATTTTAGAAGTTCTCTAATGAATTGTGATGAATTCACCACTTTGGGTTTTTATGGATTCCCTCTGTTTTCTTAAATCATCTAGATTCTGATTCCTTACACACACGTCTACAATTTGCAACCGATCGACACAAATCATTTAGTATCTGATTTCTTACACACGTGTACAATTTGCTACCAAGAAGTATCTGATTTCTTACACACGTGTACAATTTGCTGTCAAGAAGTTTGAAATAAAATATTCATTCGTTCGAAACTACAGTATAATTTAATACAATGAGACAAATATTGTAAAACGCCATGGAGAGAAGCCGCATACTATTGCCCAACTAACTACGTCGATCGATTTGTTTTCAAACGGCCGGTTAGTTCGCAACCGTCTTGCAGTACTCTCCAAAGAAGGACCTAAATATGAAGACATTATTGCGACGTTGGTTTGAAGCACGACAATGAAGACCGGTGGAGATCCTTATTTCCTATTTCAAAATGTAACTAATCTTGCTTCCTTGTAGTAACAACAAAAATGGGTCTTTTTTTTTGTGTGGTTTTGACTGACCGTTGACTTTCGTTGACTTTGACTGACCATTGACCGTTGACCGATGACTTCCGTTGACTGCTCGGGAATCTCCGGGTCTTGTTATCATGGTATCAGAGCAGATCCTATAACCCTAATTCATCAATCTTCTCTTCTCTTTTCTTTCGAATTCTTTGAGTTCTGATTCCTTAAAGCTTTTCTCTTTCAAATTCTGTATTGTTTGACGATAGATCTCGTTAAACACTCTGTTTCTTTTGTCTCTGCTTTTGCGTTTTGATCTCGTTTGAAGCAGTGTTTGTGTTTTTGAAGACCTAGTCTACGATGACTGGTAAAGATGGAGAACCATCAAGAGATGTGAAAGAACAGGTGTTGATGACACCGTATACTCTTTTCTCATTAGATAATCCAGGATCTAAGATCACATCCGTGGAATTCAAGCAACGAGTCTGGTTTGGTTCGCAGAGAAGGTGATCGTGTTGATTCGACGGGAGGCTCGTCGCGGGGTCAAGACCGTTCCTCTCTCTTGTGTTCAAATTGTTGGAAGCTAATCGGTTATCCTGATTGGGTAACAGAGAGGAACAATTCAGGGAATGGTCGTAGCGGTAAAGGAGGCTCACGAGGTGGACGTGTTGCAAACTCTGGGAATGGGCGTAACCAAGCTCACGCTACCACAAGCAATGCATCCATCTTTCCCGACTTTACTGCTGATCAATGGAAAGCTCTTGGGCGACTTTGTTCAATCCAAGACGCAACGTCCCGACAAACTCTCTGGTAAGAAGTTTGGAGATGTAATCATTGACACCGGAGGAGCGTCTCATCACATAACTGGAAACTCTGCGTTTTAAGTCAATATAATTGATACATCTCCGTGTTCTATTGGGTTTGCTGATGGTAGTAAATATGTGTCGACGTGTATGGGAACAATGAGAGACTCACAGATTCGATATCTCTCTAATGTTCTCTTTGTGGCGAATTTGAACTGCACTTTGATCTCTGTTTCTACTCTACTTAAGAGTATGAAAAATTGCTTTGCAATGTTTGCTGTTGATTCTCCAGTTGAGACGACTGTTCCTCTTGCTGAAAATGTTAGTGATCCCGTTTAAAATACGGATGAGGTTGTCATTGAACCGATTGAAGATGTGGTTCATGTGGATGAACCTTTGCTTGGTCGCGGTCATCGTGAACGTCGAGAAAGTGTACGGTTACGACGTGATTATCATGTCTACTCTACGAAGTGTCTTGATGAGACACCAAATACCCATCACGCTCCCTCGTGCACCGCTCCATCAGCGTCGTCAATGGTCTCATGTACAAAGCCATATCCTCTCACTCACTATATCTCTGACGATATATTCTCTCTTTCTCATCAGGCTTTTCTCGCTGCTGTTGTCTCTAACCGTGAAGCTAAAAGTTATAAAGAGGCAATGCAAGATGAGGTGTGGCGTGATGCTTCCCAAGTTGAGATTACTGCGTTGGAAGCGAATGGCACATGAAGTATTGTTGATCTCCCACCTGGCAAAGAAGCTATATATTGGTAACAAGTGGGTGTTCAAGATAAAATTTAATGCTGATGGCACGATTGAACGCTATAAGGTCATGAGGTTAGTTGCGTTGGGTAGTCATCAATTCGAGGGAGAGGACTTTGATGAAACGGTTGCACAATGACCACTGTTCGTGCTAATTTACTTGAAGTTGTTGCTGCGAAAAAGTGGGAAGTGCATCAGATGGATGTATATAATGCTTTTCGATCTCCAAGGTGATCTTGATGAAGACACCTTTGCCCATGTGTTTACAGTTTCAGAATGAAAACCGCTAGCTATAGAACGTAACGCCTCTTTACGTTCAGCTCTTAATTAATTTGTCTTCTTTCACGTGTCACATGTGTTCGTCCTTACGAAAGTACTACACTTTTGCCCATGTTTAATTTGTTGTATCGAACGAGAAGTATAAAATGGATCCAATCTAAAACTATCGATCGAGTTGGTTTAATGCATGCGTCGTGAATTTAACACATTTAAGACCGTGGTACATAATAGTGGTGATATGCAAAACCGCCTTTTTTAATCCTCTAAAGTTATAACTCTATGTTGGTGTAAGCTTGAAGAAGAAGCAAAACTAATCCTAGAGCAATTAGGATTAGAAGTCTTTAGGAGTTATCTAAAGACTAAGAGAATGTTTAGGAGTTATCTAGACATAAGATGTTTCCTAATAGAATTAGGATTGGTGTTTTGGTTTCATATAAATAGAGTTGCCAAGGTTGTGGCAAACCATAAGTTTTGAGAGAGAGATTGAGAGCTTTTAGTTTTGAGTTGTGATATTTTCTAAAGTTAATAAAGGAGTGCTTTATTATTTCTCAATCTAAGAATACAAAACTTGACTCTATCCGTACCTACCTCTTATGAAGAATTGGTTATGCCAAAATCCAAGCCCTAGTTTATATCAAAATTATGAGAAATGAGGTGAAAGTGTTATTAGTCAATTGGTACGTGATTGGTTACTCTAAAAATTCCACAAAACATTTTTTTTTATAATATGTTACAGATTAATTTAGTAGTTTGCGTCTATTGTAGTTGATGAGTTGTCATTTGAAGTGATGCTTCATGTATTTATGGTGGGGGCAAAATTGTATCTCAGTTGTCTCAAGCATTGGATTCTCATTTGTTCTAACATTTACATATCTTCTTCTTTTTCTTCTTCTTGTTTTGTAACTGTAACTTGCTAAACTAGATCACTAATCAGTAATTATCATCCAATTAACAATGTTGAGATAAACAACATTGTCTTCACACAATTTAAATTACCTCAACCACTGCTGGAATTTGAACAACCTCACTACTATGATTGGTGAATATAACATACTAATAAGAAATTTTTTTAAAAAGCATACCATATATTAAGAAAAAGCCATTATACAAATTTAAGTTCAGACAAGCTTAATTAAAACCAAGAGATACAAGAGCTTAAACTTAAAAGTTGCCCATGCATATTCGATTGCGTCTGTGTTTGAATCTCTAAACGTGAACGCTTTGGTTTTCACGGCGAAAAGCAGTGGAACACAAAACTCTCATAAACACCACCGCCGGTGACCCGAAACTCATTATCCGGCCGAGACTCCGACATCCGAGGATTACCATTTCTCTTTTTTTGGTCTCTTGTTTGAACCAGAGCCTAACCTTATGTTTTTTCCGGCAATGGCAGCTGCTTTTTTCTCCATTCTCCGGCGGTTGACATACTCTTCCGATATAAAGACATCCATTGAAAAACTTTTAGGAAATGAAAGAAATGTTTTGATGCAGTTTCTTGAGGGGATTGAAGTGAAAGACTGAAAGTATAGTAATTTTATAGATGGGTAAAAGCTGTGGGCGTTAGGAGGCTTCCATGTTTTGGCACATATATTAACTACTTACACGTTTATTTTAAATATTTTCCGGAAAAGGTTTTTTTTACCATTCTAGATTTTGTACTCGTGTTCAATTCTGGTTAATTTTTTTGGTTTTTGCAACGGTTTCTTTTTCTTTTCTTTTTGTTGATTTGGATTTTATAGTTTATTTTATTTTATTTTATGGTTTCTTTTTAAAAGGTGCCTTAATAGAACCATTTTTTTTTTCTTTTTCTTTTTTAGGACCAGGTTAATAAACCAGTTCTTCTGATTAAAAGCTGTTTTGTTTTTATTGCAACTTTTGGCTGAATACATATTAAAAATAATTTTATTACATCACGTTTATTTGTCATTGACTCGTTGATGTGCATGATGTACTTGTATTGAGTCTAGCAAAATATAAATAAATACAAGAATGAAATTGAACGTTATAATTGGTTGCAAGAGAAATTCATACCACAATTCGTCGCTTTATAATAATGGTAAAAGGCTAAAAGCAAAACAATAAAAAACATTGTTAGAAACACACAATTACACCATTTGATGTAATCTCGAGAATCTACTAAAGCATGTGAAAATACAATTACACCATTTAAATATTTCTAAAATATCTAAAAACTATAGAACGTAACGCCTCTTTACTTTCAGCTCTTAATTTGTCTTATTTCACGTGTCACATGTGTTCGTCCTTACGAAAGTACTACACTTTTGCCCATGTTTAATTTGTTGTATCGAACGAGAAATATAAAATGGATCCAATTTAAAACTATTTGACAATTAGTAGATGACCAGTGTTCGTTATAATGTCCACGAGTTGGTTTGATGCATGCGTCGTGAATTTAACACATTTAAGACCGTGGTACATAATAGTGGTGATATGCAAAACCGCCTTTTTTAATCCTCTAAAGTTATAACTCTATCCGTACCTACCTGTTCGTCGGAGAGAAGCAGCTGGTTC